CAAATTTTTTTTTCCTGGAATGCATTTCATAAGCTGCTTGCTGATTTATTTTTCTGGAAACTGATGTTTATATGACAGAAAATCATTTTCTTCCTACTATTTGCTAAAATGTAAGGATGAGAATTGCCCTTGACCCTGTTTTCTGAGTGATTGAGTTCTGATTTGTTGCTCTTCACAGTAGAAACTCAGTATAATTCTAACACACCCATGGTTCTGCCACACTCAGATGTGATTTTAGCCTGCTACTATTTCCTTTACATCCTTCAGCTTTGTTTTGTAGCAAATATCAACTAATGCTAATACAACCAACACTTGATACTGATTTCTTTTTGGTGACTATTCCCACGATGAGAACTGTTCACCCTCCTTTCTCATGTTCTCCTAGTACACTTCTTTACCTAATACTCCACTTTTGCTTTGTATTTGTAACTTGACACATTGAGAATAATATCAGTAAGGTGCAATTCTAGGTGATGCAGAAGATACTTGCTTAGTTTTTAATCCTTGAAGAACACATTGTTAATCAGAAGCTAAAGCACCAATACCAAGGAAAACCAGTAAAACGTGGACATGTCAATTTTGTAAACATTTACACTCTTGGGTGGCCATGCTCACCTATGTGCCATTTCAGAAAAGATTAGGGACTTCATGAATTTCTCAACCCACAACACAACACATCCATCAGGACGTGCAAAGGTCTTTGCTAGATCAAGTCCCTAGTACTTCTTAGTTTCCAACTTTTTGCCCTGTAATATTGTGGCTAGTTCAGTAAGGACCCAAGGGAGATCATACTTGGAGTTGCTAAGCAAACCCTATCTTAAAGAAATGATGAAGGCACATATGTTCCCTGAACCCTAAAACACAGACCCAACACCGACCACTTGATTTTATTCATAATATAGGTATCATATTTTACTCTAGTGAGTTGTTCTGAACTGAATCCTATAGTAGGATGAGCCACCTCCTGGGGTTGCAAATAAGTGAGAAGCAAGCATGTGAAAACACTGAGGTCATGTTACTGGTTTAGTACAAAAAAAACATTAAGTGATACCTGTTCCTCCAGTCACCATAGTCCCTCTGGAAGGAGTGGAGCCTTATGAGCCCTTCCCCCTCCTGTAATGAAAAGTTGAGATGTCCAATCTTGTATAGGTGGTAGCTGTACTAGTTGTCCATACTCCAATAAGCAACCTCTCACCCATGCTAGGCAGGCAAATGTATTTCATCTCGGTGAGTTACAGATATAAAAAGACATGAAAGTAGTAGAACTTATTGGGAAGAAGAAGGGATTCAATGTTGAAAGAAAGAGAAGATAAAAAAGGTAGCGGGGGCAAGAGATAATAAAATTAGTTGCATACATGTAGGAGTCTGTCATAATAAAAAAAAATAAGGAGAAATTATACAGGAAGAAGGAAGTGCACAGGAGTATGAAAAACAGTAGCCAGAATGCTGGGAGCAGATGTACATTCTAGCCTGATGATCCTCGTGCTTTGTGGCTGGAGAGCACACTGGGACCTCCCCCAGACCCTTATCATAGGCTTATTTTCCTCAGTAAAGCTACAGAGTCTATCTTTAGGGAAGTTGCCAAGTGCAGTTTGCAAAGAGTTTCAGTGTTGTCGTGTGTGTTCTACAACTAGACAACGCAAAGAACATAGGCTAGAGATACAGGTGTTCTGCAGTTGCAATGACCTGAATTCTGTCATCGGCTTGCATGGGCTTGACATGATACCCTCACATTTTAGACCCACATGTATTCACATGTGTAAAGACTAGAGTCGGTGTTAGGTGTGCTCCTCAATGACAGTACATCTTATTTTTAAGACAGTTTCTCTCACTGAAAATGGAGCTCACATATCATCAAGACTAGCAGGTTAGACAGCATTTGGTCTTCTTCTGTCTCTACCTCCAGGTTACAGGCACACACTGTCAACCTCAGCTTCTGTTGTTTTGTTTGAGTGCTGGGGAGTCAAATTCGGGTTCTCATATCTGCACAGCAAGCACTGTACCAACTGACTGAGTGAGCAATTCTGCAGGCCTTGTGGCATTTCATTCACAAGACAGTATGTAACCCATGCAAACACTATGTTGATGCTTTGTTATAAGTGAGCTAAAACATCTAAAGGCAAAGGCTGCCTGTGCAGATTAGCTACTAATTAAATAACTGTTCTTCCCATGTTACACAGCATCTTTCTTGGGATGTACACAGTAAGAAAAGGGATATTCTGTAGTCTTGGTGTGAAAAGTAGGATAGGATCTGGAGGATTTGCCTCTGTCTATTGTGACCCAATGACATGGTCTACACCACAGATAGAATGAAAACAACAGAAAGTCATTGACTCACACATTTAGAGGATCTAAGAATCAAGATGCGAACAAAGTTAGTTCCCTCTGGAAACTCTGTGTGTTAAAGCTTGTGAGTGTCCCAAATTCTGCTTTTTCTCTCTGATAAATGCTGATAACCATTGTCACTTTTCAGTCGGTGACTCAGTTTCCCTTCTCAGCTTCCATCCTCAAATGCCTTCTCCAGGAATCTTGGTACCTCTGCAGTTTATAAAGAAACTCTTACTAGGCTTAGGAGACCAGTAGGATTGAAAATACTCTGCACATAAAGTCACCATTTAATCACCATCTCCAGAGCAGCATACTCCTCTGTACAGGCACTGGTTGCTTAATATAATTTGTAAAAAAAAAAAAAAAAAAAAAAAAAAAAAAAAAAAAAAAAAAAAACATGACTGAATAATGCACGTGATCATGCAATTGAATAATAATTCATTGTAAAACTGAAAAAGGAAGAAATTTAAGACAAAAGATAATGATGACAGGAAGGCATACCCATTTAAATATAAATCAGATCAATATTTAAGTCCATCGGCAAGTTTGGGATTTTTGGGAATTTATAAATTCTTGCTTTTCCACTTTATCTTATCATTTATGAATTAAGTGCACTACAGTATTCAAAGGTCTCATGTGCTTTCGAGTTTTAATATTCTGTGAATCTAGGAGTCCTGTCACTCTAATATTTCTATTTCTATTAAGAGGAAACTAAAGATGGTTAGCTGTTCCATTGAATCTATGCATACATGCTCACAAGTAAAGTTTAAAGACTCTTTCACTATGAAAGATCATATTGGGAACTGGGATATGGTTCTGTGCCCAGATACTTATACATTTTGGTGTTAATGCAAAGTTAGATGTAATTGACAGGTTAAAGTTTATAGATCAGAATTGCTAATAAAATAAACAAACTAACCAAAAGAGTGCTATGTACATGCCCTAGTTTCTAAAAGCAGAGAATAAAGGCCTTTTTAAGATGATAATACAAGAATCAAGAAACCTTAGCTACACATGTCTCGTCTCCTCAATTTTAACAGTCTTCCTGTGCATTCTCAGTGATCTGGTTTGATCTCCCCAATGGATTAGAAATAGTGTAGAGCAACATCCACATGTGCTCAGCCAACATCCCTTCAGCTGGCACATTCTGCCTCTGCCTGACCCCTGTGCCTCTGACTCGGCTGCCAAGGCCATCTAAACCATCTCTCCGTGATACACAGGGTCTCACTTTATGTCCTCAAGAACACAGGCACATTCTGCCCCTCCCTTCTGAATTAACGATGTGTTTTCCTCCTTAGCTTTCAAAAATATCGTTTTCTACTGGTGGGTAGCAGTGTTTAAAAAACAAATACCTCAACCCCATCACTTCTTCAGTTATTGTCCTGTTTTCCTGCTTCCGCTGTCAGGGAGTCTTGAAGGCCAGCCTACTCCTCTTGGCTCATTCCTTCTTGAAATCATATAATGACTTAATCAGGTCCCAGCAATTCCTTGCAAGGCCACCACAACCTGCTTCTTGTTAAATTTCGATCACTTCTCAGTGCAGACAGGATCTCTCAAGGGCCTGTGAAACAGTGCGACAGTTACTTCCTAAATGTTTTCCTTCTGTGGGCTTCTAGCCCATGTTCTGCCTGGCTGCCGTGGCCCACCTCCCAGCCCCTCCTGCTGTTTCTGGTATCAGTCCGTGTCCTTGACTTCTAAGGGCTTTTCTTCATCCCCACCTTTCTGTTATTTTCTCCCTTTCATTTCTATCTAGTTTAATTTTCTAGTTTAAAATTGTAAACGTGTGTTTCCTTTGGAGCTCAGACTAAAATGCACAATCTCTTTCTTTTCAGAAGACCAATCTTACTACGATTTAAACTATAAAAAAAAAAATCCACCTCTTTTACTGCCGTTGATGCCAACTGAAAATATGTCTTGCTCAGCTGATTATAACGACTCGCCTAGCCTTCCTCTGTTTCTCTCCTTCATTAGCCTTTTCCAAAAATGTAGCCTCAGAGAACCTTGATGATAAGATCAATGACAATCTTCTTCATCACACTCAAGCCTAACATGGCCCCGGCCATCTCCTCTGACATCCTCTGGTCTCTTCCTGTGCTTCAAATCTAAAGACCTTCTGGATTGTGAAGCATGACTTGCTGTCTTCTGCGGCCAGACCCTCAGTTCCAGCCATTCCTCCTGAAATGCCTTCAGTTAGTTCTCTCATTACCTGCCCAAACATGATTGTGGTGTAGGAACTTCCTTTGAAAATACTAAGTACTGTCAGAACACTTGTCTCAAGTCCTCCATTTCTATTTTCCTCAATCTTGATGCATTTCCCACAGCGCTTTCCCACTCTGATGTACTGTGTGTCTATTAGTTCACTGACAATTAGTTGATTCCCTCTCCAAATCTGGTCACGATCTTAATGGGGAAATTCCATGCAGTCTATTTGAGGGGTCAAAGGAATTTATTCAGGGTTTAAATCACAACAAGAATAATTGAGTTGGTCTGGGAATTCCAGGAGGAGTGGGGGCACAGCCCAATGCGATTCTCAGGAAAACTCTGCCTTGATCTGCAGCACCAGCATCCAAGACCACCGGGCAGCAAAGAGTCAGCAAGCACTACTCCTCCTAGGTCATAAGAGGTCCCGGTCTAGGCCACGCCCTGCTGCCTCACTAGGGGCGGTGCTTCAGGGTAGAGCACAGACAACCCCTCCCACATGATCTTCCACTTACACTTGCTTTATCTGCTTTCTTGTTTGTTGCATTACCAATTACTACAACAAAGCTCAACAGTTACCATCCCCCACCCCAGTCTTGTGTAAGCAGGTGAGCAACAACGGCTTGTTAAATGAATTATGCACACTAATATCTTGAATGAATTGCTGTAAATGCTAACATATGACCACAGATGTGTTTTAGCATATACTATGTATCTTTTGAACTTCCGTTTCATCTTATTTGGTTGGCTACAATATATGGTAGAAGACATTGAAGCCCTCTGGAATACTGTTTTAAGAGTGATGAAATTTCATAGCTTACAGTAACAATATTTCTTTTACCTGAACTTTAAAGCATATGTTCCCCAGTTGACTTCTGGCTATCTACTTTCTAAAACGTGCTCTGGTGAAATATCCAACATAGATCAGAAGTAAATGCAGCCATTTTAGTACCTTCTGAAGGATGAAATTTGAAACACATAATCAACAAAAAAGCCAGAGCATAGGCACTACTGGCAGGTGAATTAACTTTGCTAAAGACCTAATGCAGATTCAGATCTCAGCCTTACTATCTAATCATGGTAGTGAAAAAAGGACTATTTCGTTCTAAATCCTGTTTTCTTCATTTCTAAGGATAATTTTCCTACTGCACACGGTGGGGCTTGCCACATGAGAGCTCATTTTTCAATATTGAATGATGCTTGGTTTGAGCAATTTCCTCTTTATCCAAATGATATATGCCTGACCCTTGTCTGCTCTAGGTGGCACATTTTAATATCTAGCCAGAAGAAATGCTTTGACATGGAATGTGATTTTCATTTCAGAGATCTTGAAAAATCTCTCCCATTTTAAATGTAGATAATACTGTTGCAATATCTGTACTGTTAAAGGCTACAGGTCTTGATTGGACTTTTACTAGTTTTCCTTCCAACTAAATTCAAAGGCATGAAAAAGATCCAGCACTGCAGGTAGCAATAGGTAACAAACTTTATAAAAAGCGAAGAAGCACGTAAAGGGGCATACAGAGAAAAAGACTCCCCACCAGGTGGGAAGGGTATCCAGAAATCAAGATATTCTAAATGGTTTTTATAGCCTTGAATGGGCCTTGTTTCCATCATTTCATATTGGTCTGCTTAGAAAAAGAAAGGGAGGCTGATAGGACTATAGCTTCAGGCAAACATGTTCAGGACCAGCCCTGAACCTATCTGAACAATCTGGTCGAGTCAGTCAGAAGGGGTCCATGGCCACAAGGGCAAAAATGTTCCTCAGGCTTTTGTCTCTGGAGGATGAATAAGTAGCCAGATGTTTGCCATCTTAGTAATTTCCATGTAAGCCCTCTCCTTATCACTGTGTCTGTCAGGAGTCTGTTTACCTCAGTAATAAATGTAAATGTGATTACACAAACTCCTTTAAAATTGTTTAAGTGAAATTTGTATTAAAGTGGTGAATGGTCAAGTCATTTTAAAGATCTGTTGCTCAATAACCAAAACAGAAAATTCAAAGAAAAACTTTAAAAGTAGAATGGATCAGTAAAGACAGGATAACTGGACTCAAGATAAAGTAGAAAATCAAGACCAAATAAAGGAGTATGAAAAAAAGTTAAAGAAAACACAGGAAAAAAAAACATAAAAAAAAATGTGAGACACTATGAAAGATCTAATCTTTGAATTACAGATATATATGAGGGAGAAGAATCCCCAAATCAATGGCATTGACACATTTGTAGAAGAAAATTTCCCCAAACTAAGGAAAGACACACCCACAGTGATAATAGAAGCATACAAAGCAACAAATAGACAAGATCAGAAAAGAAAGCCCCCACAGCATATCACAATTAAAATCCTAAGTGTACAGAACAAAGAAAGTGTATTAAGAGCTGCAAGAGAAAAAAAAAGAGCATGAGTCACACATAACATAAAAATCAGAGTAATAGCGGATTTCTCAATGGATGAAATCCATAAGGGTCTGGAGCAATACATTCCAAGTCCTAAAAGACCAAGAGGTCCAACTGAGACTAATATACCCAGCAAAAACATCTGTCATAATTGAAGGAGAGGGGAAAAACATTCCATGATAAATAAGCCTAAAATACTATATTCCAGAAACCAAAACTAAAGAAAATACAGGAAGTAGCATTTCAGGCTGAAGAGAGAAATGGGCATAGCAAAGAGATTAGGAGGAGAAATATGAAGCCATAATTCCTAAAACACAAAGTGGCACTGAGAATAAACAACATCAAAATCAACAGCATAATGGCCACAATTAACACACACATTCCTTTTTAAAATTTTTGATTGAAAATATTTTTTCATGTAGTATATTCTGATCATGCCTCCCCATCTCTTCTCAGAGTCTCCTCAAATTCTCCCCTTTTCAATATCACACCTTCTTTCTTTCTCCTTTAAGAGTACAGATAGGCAAATAAAAAAGAATAAAACAAACAAATAAAACAGACAAAAAGAAAAGGCATGAGAAATGAATTCACATGCAAAGACATATTCAAATAAAATCTATAAAAAGCATCAAATTAGAAACCATAATGTGTAAGCAAAAGACCAATAAGGTTTAAAAATACCCAAATAAAGAAATATGATACTCCCCAAAATATCTCCAAAAATGCTGTTGAGTTAACTTTAGATTGGTCATCTGTTGCTGGGGATGGGGCCCATCCTTAAGTATGGTTTGCCTACCCAGTGAAACTCCATGGGAGTAACTCATTTTTCCGTTGAGAGCAGTTATATTGGAGGAATAGGGTTGAGGGATGGAAGTTTGGTCTACTTCTTTCTCTCAATACTAGGACCCCACACAGTTTGTATCTGTGCAGATGGTGCTTATATTGCTACAATCTCCATGAGCTCATCGTATGTGTGTCCTGTTGAGTCTGGAAGATGCTGTTTGTATCATCTCTCTTCTCTAGCTCTTACGTTCCTTGTATCTTCTGCACAGCTCTCTGAGTCCTGAGGGGAGGGTTTTGATGAAAACATCCCAATTAGGACCGAGTGTTCCAAAGTCTCTCACTTTCTGCACACTGCCCAGTTGTGGGTCTCTGTCTTAGCTCTCATCTACTGCAGGAGGAATCTTTTCTGATAATGGCTGAGTGATACACAGATCCCTGAGTACCATGGAATATTGTTAGGAGTCATTTTATAGCTATGTTCCTTTAGGATAATAGTATTTGTTTTTTTCCTTAGATCCATGGCCTATCTAATCTCAGAATCTTGGCCACCAAAGCAGTGTCAGGTATGGGTTCCTTTCATGGAGTGGACCTGAAATCCAATCAGAGAGTCCCATATTCATGCCATTATTGTAACATATGTGTATGCCAGTAACATATCACATCTCATAAATAACTTTAAATATTAATGGACTCAGTTTTCCAGTCAAAAGACACAGGCTGGCTAAATGAATCAAGAACCAGAGTCTATCTTTTGCTTGTCTATATGAAACACATTTTAGCTTTAAAGATTGATACTGCCTTGGAGTAAAATGAGGTATAATTATACTACAAAAAATCAAACCAGGAAACATGCAGGCATTGCTATCCTAATATCTTACAAAATACAACAATGTCCTAATATCTTACAAAATACAACAATGTCCTAATATCTTACAAAATAGACTTCAAATTAAAACTAATTAGAAGAGATAAGGGGGTACCCTTCATTCTAATCAAAAAAACAGTTAAACAAGAATCTATTACTGTCCTAAACAAATATGCATGAAACTCTGGGGCATCAGATTTCATAAATAAAAAAAAAAGAACTGCCGAATTGCTGAATCTAAAGACACAGTTCAACAATTATAATATTAATAATAATATTATAATGCATTAAAATAATATTAATAATAAATGCAGTCCTCACTCCTCATCAAGTAAGTTTCTGTTTCCAACAAATGCAGGCTATTACAGGAAATTACAACTAATAAAAATGCAGAGTTGTGGAGGCCAGTCCCAACACACACATATATAACTCCAACACCTAAGGCCCAGGGATCACTATGATAAAAGAGCAGTTAGAATTATTGTAAGAGCCAAAGGAATGGGAGCTTGCTATGAGACTGTGTCTCCTAGGTTTGTCAGAAGCCACATCTATGGAGGTTCACCAACACGACTGCCTAAACATGAGCTAAACAAGACGACAGCAAAATACACGCTAAGTGGGCAGGTGAAAGCTCATGAAGCCTCAACCCTACCAACATACCTACAAGCAACTAAGGAACGTCGAGAGTGGAAGAAATAGTTTTCCCCAGAGAAGAGCACACCAATGAATTATCCAATACTATATTGTCAGGCATGGAAATCTACATAGACATGACATTATACAGTTAGGAGGATTCTGTATAAAGAACACATGAATTTGAAAGAGAAAAGGCAGGATAATGTGGGAGAATTTGGAAAAAATAATTGAATAGAAGAAATGATATAATGTCAAAAAATAAAAGAAATAATTGAAAATTTTTGAATGGTAATTTCAAATATCTTTAACTTATTGCAATGGCAATAAATATATAATAGCATATGCATACTAGAGTAGAAATGTCATGGCATCTACTATAATTAAATGTTTTTCTAGAAAAGAGTAAGATAATAAATGTTCAGATTTATAAGTGCATGGAAATATATTGGAATTATTAATCTTCTTTATCACAAATTACATGGTCAAAAAGTCTGAACTCCCACTGTCTAGCTACATACCCAATAACATGATAATATTTCTTCACAGTCTATTCATGGATAAAGCAATAGGAATAATAGTGCCCTCATGCACGGTATGAGATTAAATGAATCAGTGAAGCAAATCATTTGCAGCAGTTTGGTACTTTATAATTATAATGTCATTTTAAAAACTTTATTTTGGATGGTGCTAATTCTTTATTGATAAAGCTGGGTTTAGGTAAAGAGTGGATACTAAGGAATATAAGAGTGCCGTTCACTTTTGAATACACTTGTTTAGGTACAATTATCTCAGATGCAAGTGGAAGATATGAGCTGATGTATTGGATGATACTGTTTGTTTGTTTGTTTGTTTGTTTGTTTCAAGACAGGGTTTCTGTGTGTAGTTTTGGTGCCTGTCCTGGATCTTGCTCTGTAGTCCAGGCTGGCCTCAA